TCAACACCCGCGCTGTTAGTTCTGCTTTCTCCAGACTGGACACGGAAGCAACACAAATGGGTCTGGCAGTGAACGAGGGCAAGACGAAATATCTCCTGTCATCAAACAAACAGTCGTCGCACTCACGTCACTGTTGATAGTCATAGCTTTGAAGTTGTAGATAATTTCGTCTATCTTGGAACCAGCGTAAACACCACCAACAATGTCAKCCTAGAAATCCAACGCAGGATAACTCTTGCCAACAGGTGCTACTTCGGACTGAGTAGGCAATTGAGAAGCAAAGTTCTCTYTCGACAAACAAAAATCAAACTCTATAAGTCACTCATAATTCCCGTCCTGCTATATGGTGCAGAGGCTTGGACGATGTCAACAACAGATGAGTCGACGTTGTGAGTTTTCGAGAGAAAAGTTCTGCGAAAGATTTATGGTCCTTTGCGCATGGGCCACGGCGAATATCGCATTCGATGGAACGATGAGATGTACGAGATATACGACGACATTGACATAGTTCAGCGAATTAAAAGACAGCGGCTACGATGACTAGGTCATGATGTCCGGATGTTCGAAAACACTCCACTCTGAAAGTATTTCTACGCTGTACCTGCCGGGGGAGGCAAAGGAAGAGGAAGACCTGCACTCCGTTGGAAGGACCAAGTGGAGAAGGACCTGGCTTCACTTGGAATATCTAATTGACGCCACATAGCGAAAATAAGAAACGACTGGCGCGCTGTTGTTAACTCGGCTATAATCGCGTAAGCGGTGTCTACGCCAATCAAGAAGAAGAAGATAATATAACAAATTGGAAAAACACTTAGTGAGTTGTCGCAAAAGAAGAGCGCGCAATGTTTTACCAGTTAATGTTTGGTTGCGTTCGAATTAAAGCTTCGAAAAAATTTCGATGAAGAGATTGCTCTGCTGATACAGACGTGGCAAWTGAAATTGGGCGGGGATGGCGTCAACATTCTCTCCGCCTTGCAGTATTACTGCAAATGCAGTTGCCAATGAAATACCTAAAACTAACGTGCGACTGGCTCATGTACTTTCTCTCCCACGTCTTCATTGCAGATGGGGTGGCCGACGAGACGAATCGATTCTGGTTCGGTCCGGGGAAATGCCGCTGAAATGAATGAAGTCTCAGTCGGTCATTGACATGCCTTCAATTTGCATAGAAGTCACCGCCTTCCGAGGTCGGCGAGACGACTCGAGTCTAACTCGATTCTGGGTAGGTGGTAAATGTGAGAGGCGTTGGCAGCCAGTGCACTTTGTTGTGCCGATATTGTACGACGCCGGATATTAAATATCCCAGTGTCGTATTTTGRGCGATGAGTTGACAAAATTCTTTGCTGCCACGGTAGTGTTGAGTGTATCCTTGATGATACGGCGTGCATCTGCTTGACGTCGAACGAATGGCGTTCCGCTCGATCCGGGCAATGTCGCTGAGACGAATCGAGTCTCAGTCGATCATTGCCATGCCGCCATTCCGAAAAGAAGTTACCAGCACGCCGAAGTCGGCGAGACGACTCGAGTCTACTCGACTCGATCTTGGGAGTGTGGTCTGCTGGAGAGGCATCGTTGTACAGAGCTTTGCGTGTTACTGTCATGCACTGAGGTGGGATGATTGTTGACAATGCTGTTGGTCGAACTGTTGCTGCTACTGTTAGCACTAGGATCAATGTGGAAAAGCCGTTCGAGTTGGCTGTTTCGTTCAGAATGTTAGCCAAATGATGTGAAGGTGTTGATGTCGGTGTTGGAAGCTGTTGTGGTGGCTGCTGCAGCTGCTGTTGTTGGATTTGCAGCGATTGATGCTGAAGTTGTTGCGCTGTCACCGTTGGGCTGAACGCCATGGGTGACGACATGTGCGCTGGAGACATAGACGGCTGCGTTGACYGCTGCTGTTGTGGTAATGTCTGTTGCTGCGGATGTGTCTGCGAGTGAGATTGCGACTGTGACTCAATCGCTGTCTGTGTCTGTGTTAGGATCTGGGTAGGCGTTGATGTCGGCGGTGGCTGTGACTCCAATTGTAAAATCTGTTGTTGTTTTAGGCTTGACTGGAGACTATGTGGTGCGTCTTGTGTCACCGTTAACATTGCAGCAAACGGATCGCCTAGCAACTGGTGGTTGTGCTGCTGTTGATATGGTTGATGCATTTGTTGTTGGGGCGTTGTTGGATGATGTGGTGGTAATTGTGGGTGATGTCTTGGCGAATGTCACTGTTGATGAGGCGATTGYTGCTGTTGTATAAATAAAAAATTTGTATTATTTTTACTACAAAAGGGGTTTTGTGTTTGTTATTTAGTTATTGCTGAATTTTGTCCGTCGCCTTTGCCATTTATTTTCGTTTCTTCGGAGAGAACAGTACCTGTTAAAATCCAACCGAACACTGAACGTTGTGCAACGAGGGATCCGAAGATTTTCGATTTTGCCCCATTCAAAGATCCACTCCGAGTAATAAGTCAACCTTTCGACTCGTAAAAAAATTATTATCCGCTAAGGGGATATTGGGTAGCCTTTTTACCATTGAAGAGTTAATTGATCTGGATGGAAGCAGTCCAGTCAATTTTGGCAGTGCCAACGCTTCCGCTCCTAGTTTTAAACTTTTTTTACGGGGCGAGCCAATTGTGGTATTATTCAATGCTGAAACTCGCTCGCTGACCTTTCTGTCTGGAAACTTTAATCGTTTCTGCAGACTGTTGCTTACGAAAGTTTCTCCAGATCCCRAACCAATCAGGGCTCTGACAGTGAAGGTGCACTCGTTGTGACATATGGTCGCCATGGATGTACCTAAGAGCATGCTTCGACTGGAAGGGGTCGTATGAGATTTAGTAGAAATCTCAGTAGTGTGTGTAGCTAATTCCTCACTCTGATCCCGGTAAAACATAGCGTGATGTCTCTGTTTACATTTGGAACAATTACTCAGACTTTTACAATTTTTGACTTCATGTGAGCCCGATAAACAGTTAGGCAGACGTGGAGTTTTCTGACAGCTTTTAACCGTGCATTAGGCTGCATCTCAATAAGTCTTTGACACGTTTTTAAAATGTGTGATTGAGATGGGCACAGTTTACATTTAATATTGTTTATATTGGCGTGATTGGAATTGATGGGTTTGGATCCAATCCTTGACTGCAAGGTTTGTATCCGACCTTCATCATCAGCCGACTTAATCTTCGGATGAGTATCCAACTCGCCTTTGAGGTTTGATACCCTATCTAGCGTCTTAACACTTTTGTTTAGAAACTTGTCTAATTCAAGCCATTTTGGGATCCCTGAATCAGAATCCAGAAATTGTTCCCAAAGCAAAGGTGTATAGTCTGGTAGTCGGATAGAACACAAATACGTAAATATGGCATCCCAGCTATCTACATTGATGTCATGTATTTGTAAAGCTGAAATGCAGCTATATATCTCCCGCTGCAAATTTCTGATGTGAATCCGTCATTCGTCAGTGGCGCTTTCGAAGCGATAGCTTTTGCCTCACCTCGCCCTTATTGATTCAGATGGAATAACTTTTCCACTGGAGATAGTCTTGGGTTATTCCCATAAATGGCGGCAAATAAATCCCTCATCATTGCGGCCCTCGTCATTGTAAAACATCACCATGAAATATTTGTGTATCACATAGCGGTAAGTTGATGGAATACCTCGCGGGTTCTACCATTTCTTGTAACCGTTCAGGTTGTATCACCGTTGCATTTGAAGGTGGACTTTGGTTGAGCCAGAGAACTTAAGGCAGGTGCAGGTTCTATACCAGTGGTCGGCATTTCTTAGCACAATTATGCAAACTAACTTCACACGTACTCTTACGCTCTATCGTTCAGTCATTGTCGAGCCAGCAACGAATTAACCAGGGATAATGGGATGCCCAACTTATTCCAGTGTGAGAGCGCTTCAAAATAAGCGTTTTTTATAACATT